CATCAAGAAGGGATGCCATCTCCCGAAGGCTCCCAAAGGGAAAATCTACACTTAGAATATCTTCTAAGTCCTACATATTTTTCCCCCGATCAACTACTCTTACATCAAGAAGGGATGCCATCTCCCGAAGGCTCCCAAGGGGAAAATCTACACTTAAAATATTTTCTAAGTCCTACATATTTTCCCCCCGGTCAACTACTCATACATCAAGAAGGGATGCCATCTCCCGAAGGCTCCCAAGGGAAAAACTGTGCTTAGAAATCTTTCTAAGTCCTACATATTTCACCCTCAACTTATAAAGGGACCCAACAGCCGAAGGCTACTTATCAATCGAAGGCTACAATACACGAGGAATCAACACTCAAGGAAATTTTCTAAGTCCTAAAGAATTGGCCCCCGGCCTATTCAATATTTCAGTTGGGGCTCCACAGTAGCCGAAGGCTACGTGACATACTACATTTGCGAAAATTTTCTAAGTCCTGTACATTGGGCCCTCGGTCCAACATTCACACATCAGGAAGGGATGCCATATCCCGAAGGCTCCCAAGGGAAAATCTACACTTGGAAATTTTTCTAAGTCCTAGGAATTGGGTTACTACAAACACCCGAAGGCCCTATGGTGTGCTACACTTAGAAAAATTTTCTAAGCCCTAATTGCCGCTGAACCCTCGGTTGCATATCCAGCAGAGGGTGCCCAACTACCGAAGGCTTCCAAGGGCGAGCTACAATCAGAAAATATTCTAAGTCCTAGACATACATTCAAAAATACCAAAGGCATACATTCAAGGAAAACGGAGGCATACATTCGAGAAGAAAGGAATTGGAGAAAACAAGTCATATATACAGAGCCCGAAGGCGATCATTCATTCATCACAGCAAGGAGTAAATGTAGTAATTACAATGATGGCAGAGGCCGAAAACATGCTAATGTGGCTATTACAAGAGTGTTCAAAATACAAAGTACATATCAAATAATGTCATTCCCGGGGGCCGCCTCCCCCGATGGCTTCGAGGTGACTTCTGCATCGGCCTCAGGTTCGTCACCCTCGGCTTCCTTCATGAGCTCAGAGTCCTCCAGGTCTGGCCTCTCGACATCGGGGGGAGAGGAACACGGATGTCTGGTTGCAGGGGGGAGCCCGTATGCTGCCGGGTCAAAGTCCTTTGGCTCGATCTTCAAGTGGCGAGCCATCCTCCGGTAGATGAGGGCTTGAGTGAAAAACTCACCCCCATCATAGTATTGTTTACCCTTTCGGGAAACCCACTCCACGCCAGGCCCATCACACCACTCGTCAACCGAGGACTCGACGACCGAGGACAGCCATTGCTTGTGCTCCTCGGACCGCCACCCCCCGCCAAGAACCCCGAGATTGCGTCCCCTCGGGCTCTCTCGACGGCTTCCACCTTCGCGGCCTCAGCCTCCTTGGCAGCTCTCTCCAAGGCCTCAGCTGCGGACCTCTCAGCCTCTGCCCTGCCCCGATCTGCGGCCTCCGCCCGCAGGGTCATCTGCCGAAGGCTCTCCTCCAGCATAGCCATCTGCCGGACAGCATCAGCATTCTGGCGGATGAGCTCCCGCATCTTAGCCTCCTGCTCAGCCTTGCGAAGGCGCCACTCCTCTAGCCGCCGGGCTTGCTCCCCGAGGGCAATGCAGGTCTACAAAAACAAAGGGGTTAGCGGGGCCAAACATGGTTGCTTAGCTCAAAGTAAAGAAGAAAGATATAAACATCAAGGACTTACTGTGAGGGAAGACCGGAGGATCCTGTCCTCGAGGGCTTCATCTTCATCAGCCCCGAGGGCTACTCTGTCAATCTCGAGGGTGATGCCTCTCAGAAGCGCCCTCGGATCGGCCGTACCGTTCATCACGGCCGTACCAGCCGGGAGGGAAACCATGAGGACCTCGGAAGATGGCCCCTGAACACCCGACGGCACTTTCGCCACCTGCATCTCCTCATTCGCCCCGGAGGCAGGGCATTCATCAACAATGATCACCGAGGGACTTACTTCCCGGCATCCCCGGTCTTGGGCTTCTTGCCCTCGGGATCTCTGCCCGAGCCCTTCCTTTTGGCGGCAGCGGCAGCGTCAACACTTGGGCCCACCGACGGCCCCTCCGGTTTCTTGAAGAAGTCACCGGCGGGTTTTGGGACACCAACGTCCGTCCCCCTCGGGCCCTTGGAGGGTTTTTTCTTCTTCAGGTCTGCAAGGCCTCTGACGTTCATCATCTTCACTGGGACACCTGCAAAAACAGCATGGGGTTAAAATCGAGGGGTTACTGACCGAAGGCACAAGGAATAAAAAAAACGAACGAGATAAAATATGTGCTAGGATATGAAAACCAAGGGCCCTCGTAGACTACCTCCTGCTCCCCCGAAGGCCTCAGCAAAAATAGGGTACTTCTCGTCCGCCTCCCCAATGAAGCGGTATCTCCGAAAGCCGAGGGCGTAGAGTCCCTTGTCGGCAGTGTAGTCTTTGATGGAGACCTGCTTCGTGCGACCCTCCGGGATTTTGGCTATCACCAGGCCATCTTTCTCGAGGGCGGCGCTTCCAACCTTCGGATGCAGACGGAAGCGATCCCGAAGTTCCGCCGGAAATGGGTTCTCAGCAACCCTGACATAGCACCAGCGCTCCTTCCAGCCCTTATTGGACGAAGGCGCCTCCGTGAATAGCTTCCACCTGGCCACCTGCTGCAGGTTGGCGAAGCCCTCGGCATTCGCGTGACCCCCTCGACAGAGGTTGAAGCTCTGGAAGAACAAGTCCAGGCTGGGGGTCACCCCTCGGTCCCTAAAGAGGTTTAAAAAACCCGCCACGTAGGAGTGGCTATTAGGTGTCAGCTGGCAGGGTACCAAGCCAACAAACCTCAGGTACTCCCGGAGGAAGGGGTGCAGAGGGAACCGAAGGCCCATGGAGACCGACAGTACGTGTACTGCAATACACCCCTCGGGCGCCCGAGAGAGCACGTCGTCAACTCCCGGCTCGACCACCACGGCCGAGGGCCCTACATGTAGCTGTGTGACGTAAAAGTCCGCCCTGTCCGCCTTCGACTTTATCTCCAAGGCAGCCGTATTGAGCCAAGAGTACCCCTCCGGCATATCTACAGGTTTCCCCTGATCAGCAGCAATAACCTTCTTCTTGGGGGCAGCTGCCTTGGCCTTCTTCTTCCCGGGGGCCACCCGGATGGGAACTGCATTCAGCGGTTGGGAAGTACTGGCCTCACCAGCACCCCGAGGGGGAAGGACGGCCACAGTAACCTTCGCCCTCTCCTTTTCCTCTTCCTCCTCAGCAATTTGGACGGCGAGGGCCAACTCCTCATCATCGGCGGTCCGCTCGAATTCCTCCGCCTCGGCCTCGGCCATCAGATCCTTCTGCACCTCAGTGGCGAGGGCTGCATCACCACCATCCGAGGGCTGACCGCTACTGGACTCCACGTCAGAGATGCCTTCGTCCTCCATCGAGGGCGTCCTCGAGATGTCCTGGGAACCGCTCTCGGACGACATTTTTATCACGAAGTATGCCTAAGATTTCGAAGGCTTTCTACAGGACTAACCCTAATCTAAGGCCAGAGGGCGGAACTTACTAAAAATTTGGAGAGGAAAACGGGCACTGACCTTGAAAGCAGAGTTATGACCGAAGGCTGGAGTTTCTCTCACTAGAATTTTTGGCAGAGCTTCGCTAGGACAACTGATCGCACAAGAGGAAATGGCTCTGGCCTTGGGGTATTTATAGGCGCTAGAATCCGGGATTGGGCCTGGATTCCGGGCCTCCGGATAGACACCATCATTACACACCGCGTCTTCGCCCAACCAGTGATGCCGCCCACGGACAGCCAGCCATCACACGCCACGTGTACCCCCCCAACGGCTATAAACCTGACGTTACATATTCCAACGGCTATATTTCCAACGGCTATATTCTGGAAGCCCCCGGGTTTTTTACTTCACTCCACTTCGTCAAGGATAGCCTCCGGGTACACTTACCCAGAAGCGCCCCCGGGTTGTGCCCCACACAGCACATAACAGACGCCTTCATATATTTTATTATTGAGGGAGATTCAAATCCAACATAAATTCTCAACCTTCTTTGAGGACCCATTTTTGTATGATGAGGTGGAGCAATCGGAACATAAATAACACAACCAAATATTTTTATGTGTGCTAAGTTTGGCTCTTGTCCAGTAACTAATTTCATTGGGGAATATTCATGATATGCAGTTGGTCTAAGCCGAATTAAATTTGATGCATGTAAAATAGCATGCCCTCAAGTTGATGAAGGTAAATTACACTTCATTAATAATGGTCTAGCGATTAATTGTAATCGTTTAATCAGAGATTCAGCAAGACCATTTTGTGTATGAACATGAGCAACAGGGTGCTCCACATCAATCCCAATCGACATACAATAGTCGTTAAATGATTGGGATGTAAATTCTCCTGCATTGTCAAGTCGGATTCTCTTTATAGAATGATCCGGAAAATGAGCTCTTAATCGTATGATTTGAGCAAGGAGTTTAGCAAATGCTAAATTTCTAGTCGATAAAAGACTAACATGTGACCAACGTGTTGAAGCATCAATCAACACCATAAAATATCGAAATGGTCCACATGGTGGGGCTATCGGCCCACAAATATCTCCTTGAATCCTTTCTAAAAATGCAGGTGATTCAGTTGCAATTTTGTTCATAGAAGGCCTGATGATCATTTTGCCAAGAGAACAGGCCTTACAAGGAAAATCACTTGATAATGGAACCCTGATATTCTTTAATGGGTGTCCAAGTGAGGTCTTAATGATTTTATGCATCATTACTTGGCCTGGGTGACCTAAACGGTCATGCCACAACATGGATGTTTTCTGATCATCTAACTTTGTGTTAGAAACCAAATTTACTTCAAATGAACTAATATATGTGAAATATAGTCCTGAGGAATATGCTGGCATTTTTTCACAAATATATTTAGTGCCAGATTTAGTTGTTGTAAGACAAATATATTCCTTTTGGTTTTCATTCATGGTTTCTATGTGATAACCATTTTGACGCATATCTTTAAAACTCAATAAATTCCTCCGCGATTTGCTGGAGTATAGAGCGTCATTTATAATTATTTGTGTCCCGTTAGGGAGCATCACATATGCTTTCCCAGAGCCTTCAATGAGCTTTGCAACACCTGATATGGTATTGACTTTAGCTTCAACTAAAGTCATTTGAGAAAAATATATTTTATTTCTCAAAATGGTGTGCGCTGTGGCGCTGTCTATCAGACATAGCTCTTTATCATTTGAGTGATCCATATCTTCAATATGTGCAAATAAACATAAGCTTGATCACAAATTGTACATATAATTTAACACAAAGTATATATATTACACATATTTATTTAAAAACAAAAGAAAAAGGGGAAGAAAGAAAAAGTACATAAAACTAATATGTTACAATATAAGGATTAGAGTCTAATATTTTATTTTGTGACATTTTGATTTATTGCAAAAGCATCGTCCATAATGGCATCATTCACGAAGAAGTCGGACACATCAAATTTTGTCAGAGGTGGAGTTGTGTCATTAACATAATTAGTTTCCACATTTTTGTCTTTGTTCAGATTCATGGAAGCTTGAAATAACTCCACCAGATGTTTAGCCGTGCGACATTTATTAGCCCAGTGCCCTGTCATGCCACATTTATAACAAGTCGTTTTTACTGAGGTTTTTGTAGGGCGATTTATTTGATGAGCTTTTTGTTTGCCCTTGCCCTTGTAATTCGGTCTTTCGACCCGTTTATATCCTCTGTAAGACTTGTTATTATGACCACTAAAATGCCCACGTTTAAAATGCCTTCTACTGCCACTGTGTGTTGCATTTGATTCAGTGGCTAAATTATGGCCAGATGGACCATAAATCGAAGGACTAGAACCGGTGGGTCTCAAATTGTGGGTTTTCATCAAAAGGTCATTGTTTTGCTCAGCTACCAATAATACTGATATTAAGTGAGAGTATTTTTTAAAACCCTTTTCTCTATATTGCTGTTGTAGCAGCATATTAGAGATATGCATAGTAGAAAAGGTTTTCTCCAACATATCAGCGTCAGTGACTTTTTGTCCACATAACTTTAATTTGGATGTTATTTGGAACATAGCAGAATTATAGTCACTGATAGATTTAAAGTCCTGGAATCTTAAATTGATCCAGTCATACTGAGCTTTTAGTAAAAGTACCTTTTGTTGGTGGCCATACCTCTCTTGTAAATTGTCCCATAATTCTTTTGGATCATCAACCAAAAGATATTCAGATTTGAGACTTTCATGGAGGTGGTGACGGAGGAAAATTATAGCTTTCGCTTTGTCTTGCGAAGATGACATATTATTGGCTTCAATGGTGTCTTCCAATCCATTTGCTTTTAAATGTGCCAAGGCATCCACTTTCCATTCCAGGTATTTTTGACCGGACAGATCAAGAACGTCGAATTCTCGTTTGCTAATATTTGCCATACTACAAAATTATTATTTTAAACTTAATTAGAAATATGGAGTAAATTAACAAGAACTCTTATTTTTGGGACTTTCATATTATTTTACTCCTATTTAGGGCAATAACTTTAGAAATATTGGTATTTACATATTAGTATTATCAAGTAATAACACTAATATGTAAATATTATTAAATGACCTGTTTTATCATTATATGTGTAATATAGTTGGCACAAATAAAATTCATTGATTTGTTCAAATTATTATTACGTACAACAGTTCAACTTATTACATTCCTTATTGCCATTATTAGTATTATTAATTAACTAATTTTAAGACAAATTAAAATTAAAGGCTTGTGAGGAGAGAACTTATCTACTCCTCCGTATTACATATTCACATCTATCATTATTTTAAAATAGTCTTCAGTCCCAAGTCCTAAAAATCAACTGACATCTTATTTTGTTTATTTACTACGTATTTGTTTGTGTACTTGTGTAGTAGCTAATGTGCAGACCCGTGAAGAAAGAAAACAAAAGGAAATTGCAGTTTCTTGGTTTGATAACCTGTTCTTACAAAGAGCACCGTTTCTTTTTCAAAAATCTAAGGTTACTCCGCGACTATCTTATACGAAGTAGATGCCATCTATTATATATCTGAACTAATTTGTTTCTTATCTACTATGATCCCATTATATATTATGATCACTATTTATTCATAGGGAGCTAGCAGTCTTGTCATTTTTCCACTTCTTCTTTATTAGTTATTCGTATTATTCTTTCTTTCTTCTTAGAGTAACCAAGTCATAACTCTGATACTTTTATTCCATCTCTTTATATGAGTCCATTTTTATCTCCTACTCCAGCTTTTATCATCTTCATTATAGTAGTCTTTATCATTCAGAGGGTTTCATAAATTACTCCTATTTGTACATGGGCTATAAATCAAAGAGAGTATTCAAATTGAAGATAGTGATATACTTTTAAAGGTACGTATGTAGTTACATAATTTTTTATTTATTCGTAGTAGTTATATAAATAAGTATAATCCTGATTTGGATTATCACAGAGTTACTTTCGTAATATATAGCATAATACGGAGTGATAATAAGGTTAATACCTGCAGGAGATGCTGATTGCTGAAGATTTTGAGCAAATTCGTGCTGATAACGTATTATAAAATGAAGAAGATGAAGACTAAATTTGAGAGATAGATATATTAATAAAAGCTCTAAATATCTTCTTCTTAATATCTGAGAATTTCTGAATTTCTGAATGAATTTACAATGTCTCATCAAGCTCCTATTTATACTGTTTGAACTTGATGATTAGTTACTTAAGGGATGAATCTACAGATTTGGTGGCAATAACAATTTGAGCCATCTGTTCTAACTAGGTTACAAGGATTAAACATAATTTCTGGATTGATGACAAGGATGAACAATTCACACTTGTCATTTTCAGGATTTTACAACATATACGTAGTATTTCACTTGTATTCATAGAAACAGACATTTGGATACAGTCGCAATGATGTAAATGTAATTCTAGTATAACTATGAAACGGCGTTATTTATATTCCACCATATTTACCTTCAAAAAAAGAAATATTTGGTATCAATTATAAGCCAATCAAAATTAAAACGTACAAAATTGAATTGAACAAAAACTTGAATCAATCTAATCACAATCATTTAAATTAAAACTTTAGAGTCAAAAATTGCAAAACCTACAAAAGCCTCAAAGGAAAAGTCTTTTTAATGACAAATGTGCAATACACATATTCCATACTACCTCCGTCCCGGTGTATTTTACCAAGTGCAAAGTAGGTGAGAAATAAGAATAGTAAAAACTATGTGGTTGAGATTTGTGCAGAGAAGAGAGAAATGTACAGAACCACAAATTAGCTACTTTAATGGGAAAATAGCAAAGTTTTTTGAGATAACCAAAAATGAAAAATTGTCAAAGTCCAATGGAACAGAGATATAGAGATAGTAGATTATTGTTCATCAAATTATGTTAAACATCTGTGAATACAACAAGGCAGATCACCCCATGTCAAACACGAGAATGAGTCATAGAAATGAAAGTTTCTAGCTAACATATGAGTTACCCGATTTGTTGACAATCTCACATGAAAAACAAAATGATAGTAAAATTAGATGCTAATTCTCCAAAAAGAGTAACATTTAGAACTTGACTTCCCATAATAGAATACTTAAGACAATTTAGATTCTACCACAATATGATCACATCCAATACATCTTATCTAGCCAAGTGTCGCCTTTAGTGGTAGAGCTTCCGCCTCCCCGACTATGACTCTACTAAGTGCGTGTAACACTTGAGATTTAATTTAAATGAATTAATAGTACTACTCATACAAACAAAGATGCATCTTCTTTTAAGGGAGCTCATCACCAAGAACTCCAAAGTTAAGCGTGCTTGCACGTGAGTAGTCTTGGGATGGGTAACCCCATGGGAAATTTCTCAGGGCGCGCACGAGTGAGGACAAAGTGCGCGGAAAAGGCTAGTGACGGTTTGTGAGGACGGTACTAGAGGTCAGAAGTAACTATTTCAGGACCTGGAGGGTCGGGGTGTTACGGTGCGCCCTCACAAGGCTTCACACCCCTTCAACGAAGCCCCAATGCTATCACATACGACCCGACACCTCGCCCAAACCCACTTATTTGCTTCGAACAACCGCACAAGCATTCGACTTCAACCTCTTTGTTCCTAACTTCTTCAATCTATCCTCTTTCATCTCATGTTTTTCAAACTCATTGACTCAAGCGTTTTTTCACCAATAAAAATCTAAAGATATCTACTATTTCATACTTTCTCATTTTGAGCTCTTTGCAAATTCCATATCTTCATAATAAAGTAAAACACTATTGATCTATTTCATATTTTGTATTGTCATAATCCCTTCCATCCACCCAAAATCACATGCTTCTAAAGTATTCGAATTTAAGTGATATAATTGTATTTTTATGAAACAAAAAATATGTATGAGGATACTTTTTTATTGGGAAAGTTCCCGAAATAGGACTAAAACATTTTGAAAATTCCAAAATAGGACTGTCATGTTTTTTATTCCCAAAATATGAGTAATTACTGTCAAGTTTAGAAAATACTGTCATGTTTGAAGTCTGGTACTGCCAAAACATGACAGTAATTAGTTCTATTTTAAGAATAAAAGCATGACAATTCTATTTTGAAATTTCCAAACCTTTTTAGTCTTATTTGGGGTGATATTTTCTTTTTTATTTTGTACTCTCCTAACAAAATTAGACAAGCAAACTTTTGCCTCAGAATAAAAATCTTGTACGTATTAATCAAGCATCCCAACCCTGAATCCACCCAAACTCGCATGTTATTTTGCACCTTTCAAACAGGAGAGAAGCTGAAGTATTAATGCCGTGATTCGTTAAACAAACCCAGCACTATCCTGCAATTTTGATTTCTTTTCATCCGCATCCTCCAGAGGTTCAGAAGAGTAAGGGTTTAATAGGATCAAGTAGGGGTTTAATAGGACTAAAGTCAGGGTAGTTTTCTTTTTCATTTGTCCATTTAAACTTCAGTAACTTCACGTGTCCATCCCTGTTTGAATTTCTTCATACGTCATACAGTATTCCCAGCATCATCAGTTCATTCACACCCAAACGCCCAACACCCTCTTAGCCGATTGCGCGATCGTTGCATTCGATTGCGGAGTTGCTTTGATGGATTTTCAAGTGGTGGTGTTAGCAGGTGGCTTCTCCAAGAATCTTGTCCCTCTCGTTTCTAAGGTTCCTCCATTTCCCAGCCTGTTCCGGAAAATGTACACATGATTCAGATTTCCATTCTGATGTCAATAATTCTTCTGAGCATATATGTAAAGATTTGATAATTTTCAGGACGTGCCAAAGGCGTTGCTTCCAGTGGCCAACCAGCCTGTTCTGTCCTACGTGCTTGACCTTTTCGAGCAAAACAATCTCAAAGATCTAATTGTGGTATGTTTCTTACATGCCAAGAGTTCTTTTTAGTTTTAGTGCCTTTAGGTACTCATTGGCCAATTTAAGTATCTTAAATTTGATCCGGGGTATTCCTGTGGTGTGTATTGGGAAGTAGTGTGGATATTAGGGAATTAGGGTTCCTAATTCCCTTATTTTGACCATAGGTGGTTGAAGGGCAAAATGCAGCTGCTTTAGTGGGGGCTTGGATATGTAGTGCATATGTTGACCGCCTACATGTTGAGGTATGCACACTCTCACTATCTATATGGATTACTTCATTTGTGGCAACACATTGAAATGATAGATTGACGATGTGAAGGTTTATTATAGAATCATAAAAAACGTCTTAGAGATGAATAGATGACCAGACTTACTCTGCATAGTGCACTCCTTCCCTGTATTACTTTTAATGATTTTCTGGGGAGTCACCAAAATCTTCCAGGCACTGCTAAAACAAGATTGATTTGGCTACACCGGAAC